CGCAGAGCAGGGTGCACAGTGCAGAGCAGGGTGCACAGTGCAGAGCAGGGTGCACAGTGCAGAGCAGGGTGCACAGTGCAGAGCAGGGTGCAGGGTGCAGAAGGAGGCCCAGGGTGATGCAGGGTGGGCAGGGCACTGTGGGGCACCGGGCAGCCTGTGGGGATGGTGCTAACACTGCCTCACATCCAGCCCACTGGGGCTGCAGTGGGGCCGGGGAGCAGAGCGGGGCGTGGTGGCTCCAGAGTGGCTCCACTGCCCCGGGACAGGGACAAGGGACACCTCAGCCCCCCCGGGGTGGCTCAGAGCTGGAGGGCTGCTGCTGACACTGGCACTGGAGCTGATGCTGGCAGTGGGGTTGGCAGACACTGGGATGGCACTGGGGCTGGCACGGCTCCTTCCATCCCTCCCCACGCTGATCTCTGGGCTGGTTCCGGCAGCTCGGCTCTAATCGCGGCCGCTCAGCTGGCGGATTTAGCACTAAATCCCTCGGCGTGTCATGGACTCTGCTCAAGCCAGCACAGAGCCGGGGGGGGACAAGGGCCCCGTGCCAGGCACGGTGTGCTGTGCCATGCCAGGCACTCGTCCCCGGCTGTGCCACAGTGCCACACTCTGTGCTGTGCCATGCTGTGCCACGCCACGCTCCATGCTGTGCTGTGCCAGCTCCAGGAGACAAGAGGGTCCCTCCTCAGCCACCTTTTGGAGTGACTCCTGTCCCAGCCAGCCTGTGTCCCCCAGAGGAGGCGATGACTGAATCTGGCTCTAAGAGTCGAGATGGCCCTGGACCTGCTGCTGGGCCTGCTGGGCTCAAGGCACCCAACAGCCACATCCCCAGGACGAGGGGCTGGCAGTGCCCACGCAGGACAGACACGGGTGGCTGAGGCAGGGTGGTGGCAACGTGAGCCTGACAGATGATGCTGGACTGGGCAGGCAGGGGACAGGGGCTGGCAGGGTGCCCTGGCCAGGATGTGTCCCCTTGAGTCAACTCTGGCAGGGACGGGTGCGGGGGAAGCTCCAGAACTGCTCAGGACCCGCTGCCAGCGCGGGCAGGAGACGCTGAGCGCCCACTGCCCACTGGGGCCACCAGGGTGGGGGCTGGTGACCCCCAGGCATGGCCACCCCAGGACAGACACAGCAGCTTGTCCTGGCACCAACCCACTGCTCCTCTCCAGCAGAGCTGTGGCAGAGTATCTCCTTGGATGACCACAGGGAGCCCATGGGAGCAGCGCCCCAGAGCCAGGACTGGCACACTGGAGGCTGTGGGGGGCACATGGGGCTCTTCCAAATGCTGTTCACTCTGGCACAGCTGGGCCTTCCCTGCATTCCCTATCCCTTCATCCTTCATTCTCCCATTCCTCATCCCTGTATCCCTCAGCCTGGCATGTCCCATCCCTTCATCCCCATCACAACAGCCCCATCCCGCATCCCTGTCTCCCCAGTCCCTGTGTGAGCTCTGGCACCCCAAGGCCCTGTGCCAATCCCACGCAGGTGGATCGCAGCGAGGTGATCAAGAGCAACCTGAACCCCGTGTTCGCCAAGATCTTCACGGTCGATTACTACTTCGAGGAGGTGCAGAAGCTGCGGTTCGAGGTGTACGACAGCCACGGGCAGGCCGGCGTGGGCACGCACGATGACGACTTCCTGGGGGGCATGGAGTGCACCGTGGGGCAGGTGAGCCTGGGGACCCCCGCCCGGGGACCCTGTGACGGTGCCCCCTCCCCAACCCCGGGCTCTCGCAGATCGTGGCGCAGAAACGGGTGACGAAGCCGCTGTTCCTCAAGTACGGGAAGTTTGCGGGCAAGTCCACGATCACGGTGAGCACCGTGCTGGGGGTGACAGTGGGGTGGGGGACACTGGGCACGGGCACATGGGTGGCACCGGGATGGGGTGCACAGGTGACATGGGGCTGGAATCCTGGGATGGCACCAGACAGGATGTGTGATGGACTGGGGTACTGGGACAGCATCAAACTGGGACCTCCGGGTGGCACTGGACTGGATCAGTAGGGTGGCACAGACCCCTGAGGGTGGGCTCAGGGTCCCCCATGGCATCTATTGGCCATCCTGAAGGTCCCTGCTGTGCCAGGGAGGCACGTGGGACCCTGTCCCCTCCCAGGGCGCTACAAGGAGGTGGTGGGTGGGGGACAAAGCTGTGCCAGGCACTGAGCACCCCACGGCCGCCTCTCAGATCATCTCGGAGGAGATCTCGGGGAACAACGGCTACGTGGAGCTCGCCTTCCGCGCCAAGAAACTGGATGACAAGGTGAGCCGGGTGCCCGGGGGGGAAACAGGGCAGGGCAGGCGGGGTGGGCAGCGCTCTCTCTCATCCTCCTTCCCCAGGACCTCTTCAGCAAGTCAGATCCCTTCCTGGAGATCTACCGCATCGACGACGACCGCAGCGAGCAGCTGGTGTACCGCACCGAGGTGAGGCCACGGCGGCACCGGGCCCTCGGCTGCCCCACGGCCTCCCCGGGGGCTTCCCAGCCCCACTGAGCCCCCTGTCCTGCAGGTGGTGAAGAACAACCTGAGCCCCATCTGGGAGCCCTTCAAAGTCTCCCTCAACTCGCTCTGCAGCTGTGAGGAGAAGAGGAAGCTGAGGGTAAGGAAGAATGTTGGGGACCCCCATTCCTGCCGTGGGGGCATCTGTACCCCAGCTTCCCCATCTGGGGACCCCACAGCTCTGGGAACGGGGCTGAGGAGCCCCTGGAGCCGGGGCTGAGCCGTGCCTGTCGCAGTGCGTGGTGTGGGACTACGACTCGCGGGGCAAGCACGACTTCATTGGGGAGTTCTTCACCACCTTCGAGGAGATGCAGAAGGCGATGGGGGAGAACAAGGTGGGACATGGGGACATGGGGATGGCCTGGGGGTCACCCTGTGCGCTGCCAGTAGACCCTGTCCTAGCAGCCACCTTCCAGCTCCTCCTCTGGGTTTGCTGTCGTTTTCTTCTCACTGCTCTCCTGTTTGGGGAAGGGATGGTGGGTTTGGGGTCTTCTGGGGAATCAGTCATGGATGGATGGGGTGGCTGGAGCCTGGGGTTGGCTGGGAGTGGGGGAAGGCAGCTGCACCCTGGGGCTGTGGGGGTGCAGG